TTAAATTTCTAAGCTCATGTCTCTTATGAACTTTTTCTACTCAGTTTTGCAATAGAACTCGGTGTAAACATTGACAGGAGTCCTCAGCTTTCTGGCAAGGTTTGAAGTCTAAATGAATTTGGACAGCCACCATAAACACCACTGCTATTTCAAGAAAATTTCTTCCAAAAGCACTGGGGTTATTTTAGGTGTCATATGTATATTAAAAATCTTAACTATAACCAAGTAAGCTTTTTTCAGAGAGACTACAATTTCTTTGAAACTATCTTCTTCAGGTTAAAATCTTAGCATATGAAATTTTAGTTCTAGTCTCACATTTACAGTCTAGTCAAAAATACTCTTTAAGTAAATTAAGACATGAGAAATTTAAGAAAACAAAAGCTAAAGGTAGTACCACTGAATTATTAAACACCTCAAAATCAAAGTATTAAATATATCCATTCTTAAACAGCTTGTATAAGTATAAGGGATCACAGAAGAAACCTAAGTATTCAAACATAAAAAAAAATGACTAAACATAACCTTACACAAAACTTTCTTATGACTCATCAGTACTTAAATGATGCCTATAATTAAGACTAAGTGTGAAGAACAAAACGCACCAAAGAATATTTTTTAATTCCTTCCATTCAAAAATTGTCTACATAGTTTTCTTGGGGGAGAAGGGAGTGACAAGTTTCACTAAGAGGGCCTCTTGTCCATCTTTTTCACTTCGGCAAACCAGTTAATTTTCATGCTAAACACTATACAAGGACACAATCTCTAGGTTAGAACCCTGAGTCATTACACACAGATCACTCCCAAATTTGCCAGTGTTTATAATAATGAATTATAACCTAGTGATTAAGAGCCCAGGCAGGCTGGCTACAGGCTCCTGGCTCCTGGAGTCCCAGCTGTATGACCTTGGATGAGTCACAGCAGTTTCCCCATCAGTGAAATGGGTAACAGTTCCTACCAGTAGGATAAGCTTATTTATGTAAAGCCCTGAGAATAACGCGTGACACTTGTCCTAATTTTTAAATCAGTGTGAAAACAATTTTTTAAGGTGTAAATTTTTTTTTTTTTGGACAACTTGAGCAGAATTCAAGAACCAAACGGTACTAGCATTCAAGTGAGGCACCTAATTTACAATAGTCATATAATCTAGGGTTGGGTGAAAGGCACAGCCAAGTAGTCAGAGTCAATCACTCACTCACTGATTTTGCCAATTTTAACTATTTCGGGGAGGGGCCTTTTGCTAAGCGTTAAGACATTCAGCAGTTTTGGTGGATCTAAGTGAGAGTAGGTTTGCATCTGTGAATAGACTTGTGAAGTTTTGCTGCAATACCCGGGTATCAATTATACAATGATTTACGATTTCTCAGCCACCAATTCCTCCGGCTGCTAAACAGGTCATCACTCCATCTCGAGAGGCCGGGATCACTTGCACTCACTGCACAACTTCAGAGCACGCCGAGCGCCCTCGCTCCGGCACACACCCCAAAGGGCCGCGGAGGCACCGGGCTCCCGACCTTCCCCGGCGCCTCGCCCAGCAGCCAGGCCCGTTTTCTTAACCCGTGCATTGTCCTTGCGGAGAACCCCGGCGGTTCCCACACTGGAGGGGACCGAGAGGAGGGACGAGGGAGGAGCTGGGGGAAGAGGATGAGGAGGAAGAGGAGGAGGAGGAAGACAACCTCCTCCCCTTCGCTCGGGCGACCAGTGAAGGTCTGGCGCTTTCTCCGGCCCCCAGGCCCCGGCTCCCGGGAGGCCGCGGCCCCTGCTCCCACCCTCCGCAACTTTCCCTCCGCTCGCACCCGCCTCTCCTCCGGGACCGGGCCGGGGCTTGAGGAAAGCCTCTCTGAAGAAGTGGCAGCATTTATGCTGAGACAATAAGGATGAGTATGAACGAAGAAGAGGAAGGGGGGGAGAAGGC